ATCGCCTAAGCATTCCCCTGCCAGCCTGATTGATGCCTAACTGCTCCCCTGCTAAATTGCCCCCAACTGCCCTCCCCTGCCAGCCTGGTCCCCACCAACTGCCCTCCCCTACTGGCGCATGATGGCCTGATCATCGCCTAAGCATTCCCCTGCCAGCCTGATTGATGCCTAACTGCTCCCCTGCTAAATTGCCCCCAACTGCCCTCCCCTGCCAGCCTGGTCCCCACCAACTGCCCTCCCCTACTGGCTCAGTCACCCTAACTGCCCTCCCCTGCCAGCCTGGTCGCCCTTAACTGCTCTTCCTTGCCGGCCATCTTGTGACAACATGGGGGTGGCCATCTTGTGCGAGGACATGACGGTCAATTTGCATATTACCTCTTTATTATACCGAATGCATTTCATTGTACAAATATACCACAATTTATTAATCCATTTGCCTGTTGATGGACATTTGAGCTATTTCTTGTTTGTGACTTCATAAATAATAATCTTATGAACATTTGTGTGAAAGTCTTATCATGGACCTATATTTTCATTTGTGTTGAGTAAATATCTGGGAATGGAATTTCTGTATCATAGGGATAAATGTATGATTATTAGAAGCTACCAGTTTTATGAACTGGTTGTACCATTTGAGACTCCTATCAGTGATGTATGAGTTTCAATTGCTCCATATTTTCATCAACATTTTGGGTGTCAGTCTTTTTTAATATCATCCATTCCAATAAATATAAAACCTTTGTTTTGATTTGTTTGTGCTTTGTGAGCATAAACTGGTTGAAAATCCACTAAAAAGGCAAGGCCACCAATATTCATGCCAATGTTTATGTAAAAACAAACAAATAACCACAGGACTCCTGTCAATGGAATAGTCCATTGGTGAATAATGCCTGGGGCTTATCAGTCCTCATGGAAAGACCCTGCAGGGATTGGGCTCCTACCAGCTGGGCCAGGCCAATAAGTATCTGAGGAGGGCACTGCCCAGGGACATGTCTGCCTGTATCTACAAGTCAGAGAATGTGGGTGATTTAAAATTGTAGAGACAAATATCAATCCATATCAATCAATATTTATTGCTGAGTAAATACCTACAGTATGGAAGGTGTTCCCAGGAGATCCAGGCGGGGAGTAGACTGAGACTCTGAAAGATTTACTCTTCTTGATTTTGCATTATCTGTGCCTCCAGCCCCTTCCATTAGCATGAATAATTAACAGCTGACAGTGCTATCAGCTGCAATAAGAGCATGCTTAGGATTCAGGGTTTATCATGTGCCAAGGAAGAGAAAAGGCTCAGGGGTTTGAAAGTTATGATCAGGGTAGTGGGTAGTGAAGAAGAGGAAGATTAAGCATATTAAATACAAATGCCATGCAGTCTCTTATTTTCTGTTTTTTTTTTCTTAAAAAATTACCTTTAAATCCACATATAACACATGGATGCTCAATTAGAAATACATGGAAGAAACCATCCTACACTTGTCCTACTCCCCTCCACCCAGGGGGGAACTGGAGTTAACGGTTGAAGTGTGTCCTTTCAGACCTTCTAGAAAAGTCTTTACATGCATAAATGAACACATATAGATTTCTTTCTCTTATATATTAATAAAATTCTATCCTACATATTATCCAGAGTTTTTTTTTTGTTTCACCAAGTGTATCTTGAACATTTTCCCCTGTCAGTACATACCAAGCACTCCATTGTATAGGCATGCCATAATTTATTTATTTAACAACTTCCTAATGGGTGGGCATTTATATCAATTCCATTTTTCACTATATAAATGGGTACATGTGCAAATATACCTATGGGATAGAGTTTCTAGAGGCTGGCTTGGAAGAGGGCTTGCTGGGCCAAAAACCATGGCATTTTAAATGTTGCTAGAAGCTGCCAAATTGCCCTTCAAAATGTCTTTGCCAATTAAAACTCCCACCAACAGTGTACAACAGTACTATTTTCCTTCACTCCCCAAAACTAGATATTATCAATCCTTTTAATGTTTGCCAACTTGGTGGATAAAAAATGGTCTCTCATTTCCATTTATAATTGCATAGCTCTAATTTCTAGTGAGGCTGAATACGTCTTCATATTTTTCCTACCCCCAATCAAATCTGTTAATAGGAAAAATTATTGTACTGTAGTATTTTTTTAACAGAAGGAAGCAGGTAAGTGAGAAATGTCCCTCCTGGCCCAGTCATCTGGTTCTTGGTGTGTGGTGTTGAAATCCAGCCAGAATGAAGTTGCTCAAACCTCTGGCAGTGACTTGGGAAGGTGGATTTGTTCAGCTGTGTTCAGACCCAACTAATTAGCTGATCATTTGGGTATTTAGCTGAAACACCCTGCCAAGATGCTGTTCGCTCTAAACTCCCAACAAGCAAAGAATGTATTTTGGTCCAGCATATTTTCTGGGTACTTCCTCAGTTCTTGAAGGAGCTCTCTCTTCTGTAAGGGCTAAAATCTGTGTGTGCTCGCTGATGGTGATGAAGATGGATGATGACCAACAGCTCAATTGCTGGGTCTAAAACAGTGATGGCGAACCTATGACACGCGTGTCAGAGGTGACATGCGAACTCATTTTTTGGTTAATCTTTCTTTGTTAAATGGCATTTAAATATATAAAATAAATATCAAAAACATAAGTCTTTGTTTTACTATGGTTGCAAATATCAAAAAATTTCTATATGTGACACGGCACCAGAGTTAAGTTAGGTTTTTTCAAAATGCTGACATGCCGAGCTCAAAAGGTTCACCATCACTGGTCTAAAACAAGGACTGTCCAGAAAACACTGTGAAAACAAAGAAAAAGATATCTAAAACTGTCTCAACAACTTTAAACTGAAACTCCACTGCCACTCCCCCAGGCGCTCACCCCTCCTGCTGGTCTCTAATCCCCCCATCTTTCATCCTTCTACAATGGAAGGGACCTTTCCAAACTTCCAGTCTCATCATGGCACTTCAATAATAGTAATGACATGTCAAAATTGAGCACTTGGCATTGTGCTAAGCATTGTACTAGCATTATCATCTACTTTAAATCTATTGCTTAAAAACTCCAAACACTGCCATCTTGTTCACACACACCCAACATACTCTTGCCTTGGAGCCCGTAGTCTGGAATGCTTTCTCCCAGACCCAAATCATGACTCACTCCCTCACTTCATTCAGGCCTCTCATCAAATATATACTCTTAGAGAGGCCTTTTCTCATTACCTTACCTAAAAAAGCACTCCTTATTCTTCTCTGTCCCCATCTTCTGCTTCATTTTCTTCATAGTACTTTTCATTATGTGATATTTCATTCTGTGCTTATTTGTTCATTGCTGTCTCCCACATCCAACTATAAGGTCACTGAAAGCAGGGACTTTGTTCACGGCCAAAACCCCTGTGGCTAGAATAGTGCCTGGCATGTGGTTGGCACTTAATAAATCTTTGCTTAATGTGTACATTTTGAAAGCAATTTGGCAATACCTTGTAAAATTAAGTACGTCGATGGTCCATGGAAAGCAGTCCTGTTGAGAAAAGTTCATGCACAGGTCTGTAAGAGGACATATATGAGGCTGTTCATTATGGGAAAAGGGAGTTATATGCAACCTAGGTGTTCACTATGAAAGGAGATGAGAAAAATGAAGTGTGTGCACACTATAGAACACTATGCTGAAGTTAGAAGAAAAAACTAAATACTCACATGACAACATGCATACATCTATTAAAAGAGTGCTGAGTGATCAATGCAAGAAAGGGAAAGGCACTTAGAGCACAATACCTTTTATGTAAATTAAAAACACATATGCATAAACAACACTGTTTAGTATAAAATCACAAAAGAATATTTAAGGATAATATATATATATATA